TGTTCCAATCTTATTTCTAGTTTATATAAATATTTTCTCAATTTATTTAAATGCTAACTCAGTATTTTTAATAAATTATTCTAATGACACAAACATACTAGTTGTCAAAAAAAAAATACAATGAGACTGAAAATAAAACTATCAACTATTTCAATGATTTAATGAATAAAAATAAAACTAAATATGTATTTTCAGACATTGTCTTTTATCCTAAAGATATTGATAGTGACCTAATTGAATTTTGCTCATCTAAAGAATTTTTAGGAGTTAGTATACAGTGTGGCCCAAATTGGGCCTACATAAACTATAGAATATAGAAAACGGTTAAATGAGAAAAATTTTATACGAATATATTTGCAACTCAAAGCCGTTTAGTACGTGATTGATTATATATTTTTGTGTTTTTGAGATATTTTGAAAAACCAAAAAGTTGTATTTTCGAAATTATGCTGTAGCTTTTTTATTGTTCACATTTTGACAATCTGTAAAAACATTTTTGAAGTAACTTTTTATGTTGATTTCGGTTCTGTAATTTGATTTTAAACACGACGTTTCAGTTATTGTATACTATCATCAGGTTCTTTTTTTTTGTGTGGTTGTTGGCATTGGATGTCATTTTTTCTTGTGGATGCTATATTGTATTTTATACTCAAAAGTTAGCTAGTGATGTCAGCGTTACAACGATGTATCGTTTATTGGTAAATAATAAAAAAATTGACTTAAAAAGACAAGAAAATTTATTTTTGCAATACTTATATCTTATGTTGGCCGTTTTTATTAATACATTTTTGACACTTTTTCAATATAGTATTGGTGACCCTGCGAAGAGTGTTTAGATTTATGCTTGCAAACACATACCTCACCATCTCTTCAGGAGGTTCAAACTCATAGACTTAATTTTTTACATACCCCCATAAATAAAAATCTAGTGGGTTATATCGGGGGATCTGGCAGGCCAGTTAAGTGGTCCGCCATTTGCCATTACTTTATTATCAAATGTGTGTCTTAAGAGAGTTTTAACTGCCCCAAACATTATGTATGAGACATCCGTCTTGTTGAAACCAAATATTATTTAGTTGATCTTGATCTTGCTCTAATTGCGGGTAACCTTCTAACAGCTTCAAGTATATTTTGCCATTCAACGTGTGATTATAAAAGAATGGTCCGATAAGTCAGTTGTCTAAAAAGTAAGATGAAAAGTAAAGTTGACTTAATACCTGCTAGGGAAGGTGAAATTACTTAATTACTTACTATACATACCACACCATACATTAAAGCCAAATCGGGTTTGCAGCCTTTGTTGAGTCAATTGGTGAGGATTTTCTGTAGCCCAAAAATGATGGTTGTGTCGATTAAACATCTCGCAGTTGGTAAAATGTGTTTCTTCGGTCCAAATTATAAGATGACTGAAACCAGGATTTTGTTCGCATTGGTTTTTTCACAGCACCAGTTTGAAAATTGGATTCTTCTTACTTAATCCGTTTCTCACAAATCCTGAACAATAGTTGGCTTGTACGGTCAATATTTACTTTCTTTTAGGACTCTTTGTATGGTACTTCTTGGGGTTGATAAGTCTCTTGCCTCCACTCCTATAGACGATGTTGAAGCGGTATTAAAATATTCCCTCGCATTTTCATCACACTTGTTATAATCTTTTTCGTAATTCTTGGGCCGCGGTTTTTCAAAACTTCCATAGTTTATAAAGGTGGATTCATAAACTACGTTCAGTTCGCGCTCACTTGCAGTTGGCAAGACATAACCACAAATTCCACAAAATAAAATTATTTTTTGGTGTTATTTTTGTTTTAATTATATTGGTAGATGGTGTTGGTTATAAAATAATTATGAATCCGTTATAACTTCTTATCCAAAACATACTTACCGTGTCATTTTGCTTTGTTTATGTTGAACTCGAACTGAGCGTGAACTGAACGTAGTTTATGAATCCACCTTAAGGCTCATAACAATTTTTGGAAAAAGACTTCTACTTGGCTGTTGTCTTTCTGGGCAATTTTCAGAATATCTTTCTAATGCAAGATTTGCATTTTTGTTGCAACTAATGTAACATTCCAGGATATATCAAATTTTTCTTCGTGAGAAACGCAATGCCATTTTTTTTTTTTTTTTTTTTAATAATAATAATGAAAACTATTACTTTTATTCGTTTTGATAAGTAATCTTTTTGTTTCATTTTCAAACGGTAGGTAGTGGTCATAGGCTTGAAATAATGCAGACAGTGGTTTGTGAGTATTACAGGGGGTCAATTCTCGACTTTTATTCCCATGGGAAAATAAAATTTTCCCATGGGAATTCAGTTTTCGTATTCTCGGCATAAGCGGTGGAATATTTTCCAATGAGCAGTATGGGAAAATATTCCCCTGCTTACGAGCATTGGAAATTGTGTTTTCCAATGGGAATTGTACTAGAGTTTGCGCATTAAAGTCGAAAATTTGACGAAAGACCACGCGAAAGACTAAGACATAACCAAAGATTGTTGGATATCTTGGATTTTTGGTGAAATTGTAGTTAAAACATTTTTTTTGTGTATTTATAAATTGATATTATTTTATTTATGTGGGTATATTATTTTTACCTCTTTTTCACTAAGAAACTGATTTTCTTAAATTAGTTAGAAATTGTGGAAGTTGCTAAGGGACTGGCAAATAGGTAACACAAATTGAGAAATTTGTAGTAAATTTAATAAGACCTTTTCGAAAATTTTATTATTTCCGTTAACGAAAGATTTTCTTAGTTTCTCGAAACTTTCGTTGCTCTTCTATACAAAAGGTACTTTTTCTTTTTTCAATATGTGAAAAGAAAAACTAAAAATAACTCGAAAAGTTTTAATTATACATAATCGAATATTTTCACTTGTCTTCGGTCAAGCTAGCGATTGCTCGGCACGGCATCTGCTCCAGCGCAGAGGCTCGGCAGGTAATCGGTTACCCAAAAACCACAACAAATACAAATAATACCAACAGTAAATTTTAAAATATCTTTAATGTTATTGGTTATTTCGAAATATTCGTAAACTTAATATCAGACATACGTGAAACTATTATTTCCATGGGAATGTCTATTCCGACAAGTTCGAGAATTGCATAACCTATTACCATGGGAATATAAGTAGTGGAATCTTTTCCCATGGGAAAATTTTCCAATGAACTCGAGAATCGAGCCCTACAGAATGTTAAATTTTTAATAGCAGTATTTTATATAAATTAAAATTTCATATGTTTATTCGGTCGTTTTTATTTTAGCGCAGCACTACATATGTTTCGGAATGAAACATGTTTCCATCTTCGGGTGCAGTCAAAATTTAATAAAACTTGGGGACGATTACAAACAATTTAAATTTTTTTAAAATAACAGAAACCCCATCTTTCTGTTTCATTCTGTGATGGTGTATTCGAAACAAACCTAGTGCTGTGCTAAAATAAAAACATGACCGAATAAAGAGGAAATTTTTATTTATATAAATTTTTTAATTGTTATTAAGTTTGGAGAGTTCTGGTGCTGTTATTAAATTTAACGTGTTGCGAAAATTTATTTTCTTGATTTTTTAAGCCAATTTCATTTATTTACCAATAAGTGATACTTTGTTGTAAAGCTGACATAAATAGCTGCATTTGAAGTATAAAATACAATATAGCATCTATAAGAAAAAATGAACCTGATAATGGTATAAAATACCTGAAACATCGTGTTCAAAATCCAATTGCAGAACTGAAATCTATGTAAATTCGAGAGACGCTAAAATGGTGGTACCCACCGTAAGAAATTTTTTTGCAATATTGAGGCCCCATAAGAAGGGCCTCAGTAAAAGTTACTTCAAAAATATTTTTACAGATTACCAAAATAGTGAACAACAGAAAAGCTACAGCATAATTTAGAAAAGACAACTTTTTGGTTTTTTTTTTTTTTAAATAAATCAAAAACAAAAAAGTTAGGATCGCGTACTAAACGACTTTAAGTTGCAATATTCATAAGAAAATTTTCCCATTTCATCGTTTCTCTATATTCTATAGTTTTCAAAATCCTCATAAATGTATGCCCAATTTGGGCCACACTGTAGATATGCACATGAATTGGATGGACCATATCCAGCAGCTTTGTGGCAAACTTTGTAGAAATTGTTATTCATTAAAGAAATTATTATTTTATTCATTAACTAAGTTATGGGGTGGTATACAAATTCAATATTTTCCTTCTACAAAAAAGAGCCGACAGTTGTAGAGGTTTTTTTAAATCATTGCACTTATTGACTGTTCCTGCATTGTATGTCTACGAGTGTCTTTGCTATATATATTCTGTAATGCTGAGGCCACACTGAGCGCTACGCTATGTTTACTACGTTCGCTACATAACATAGCGAACGTAGCGTCTTACATCTATGTGGCCACGTCCGTTTATAGTAATGGGAGATATTTTTAATGGACGTAGCGAACATCGCACTCTGTGTGGCCGCAGCATAATGCAACAATATTTTCATTATCGAACATGACCGTAACACTTGGAAAAAATACTTTTTCGATATCTGATTCATAAAACTAGTTTAATAAAAAAAAGGTTGCTTATATAAATGCTTATTACTGGTCAATTTCCTTCCAGTATAAATTAGAAAAATTACTTTTATAACTCTATTTAAAAGAGTGATAAAAAAGTGTCTTAAATCTGCAGTGATATTATAACTAATAACACTTTAAATAATTTGTAGATTATTCCCATTTTAAAACTATATATACTTTTTTGTAATATTGTACAATTCTTGTATTTGTACTACACAATGTATATCATTGTTCTTGGTACCAATTTGGTACAAATTCATCATCCTGTCCATATAAATAACTAAACTGTGACAAATTAAATTTCTTGGCTTGCACATTTTATAGGATAATTCAGTATTTACATACCAATATTTTACCAATTACAATTTTACATAGTGCGTTTTTTTCATATTTTATTATTGAGGTATTAAGAGAATGTTTTTTGTATTTTAGTGTAATCGCTTGTTGAGATGGTGTCCGTCACCAGACTGTAGTAATGCAATTAAAGTTCAATATGTAGAACCTCATAAAGTGACATGTAAATGTACACACACATTTTGCTTTGCTTGCGGAGAAAACTGGCACGACCCGGTCAAATGCCACTTATTAAAAAAATGGATAAAAAAATGTGATGACGATTCGGAAACCAGCAACTGGATTGCTGCTAACACCAAAGAGTGTCCTAGATGTAATGTAACAATAGAAAAAGATGGAGGTTGTAACCACATGGTGTGCAAGAATCAAAACTGTAAAGCCGACTTCTGTTGGGTGTGTTTAGGTCCGTGGGAGCCCCACGGCAGTTCGTGGTATAACTGCAACAGGTACGACGAGGATGAAGCTAAAGCGGCAAGAGATGCGCAAGAAAAGTCCCGGTCAGCGTTGCAGCGTTATCTATTTTACTGCAATAGATATATGAATCATATGGCGTCGTTGAAGTTCGAACACAAATTGTATGCATCCGTTAAAGAAAAAATGGAAGAAATGCAGCAACACAACATGAGTTGGATAGAGGTGCAATTTTTAAAAAAAGCTGTAGATATTTTATGTCAGTGTAGGCAAACGTTGATGTACACTTATGTATTTGCCTATTACTTGCAAAAGAATAACCAGTCTGTGATTTTTGAAGATAACCAAAAAGACCTCGAAAGTGCCACCGAAACTTTGTCGGAGTATTTGGAGAGGGATATTACGTCTGAAAATCTTGCTGATATTAAACAAAAGGTTCAAGATAAATACAGGTAATGCAATGCACTTATTGTTCTCTTTTTTCTGTTAACATAAGTTCTCTTTTTGTTTCCATTATTCTAATGGAAGTGTACACTTTTCACTCCATTCACATTTTTGTGACGAATTTACATATTTCTTACTTTTGGGCGGAACTTTAAAGGTTTCTGTTTTTCTATTTATTACTTCTTTTAGAATTATACTTCATATTTCAGTATGTATGTAAGGGCTTCCTTCTCTTTACTACTATATAATCTATAATCTTTCCTTTTCGAAATATAAATTTATATGAATTAGAACCATATCACCTTTGCGGATATAATTGTATTTCTCTAATTATGTAATTAAAACTTAGTTCTGAATTTTTTATTAGTTAGTGCTGAGAATTACTATGGTACAAAATGTAATCAGTTTGGTCAAACACGAGGTCAAACCAATAAAGAACAAAACTTTCATGATTTTATAGTAAGATCCCTTTTGAGTTGGCCCCAGTATTAATAACTATTTTATTGAATTAACATATATCTTTAACAGATCTTTTTTTTTTTTAGGTATTGCGATAGTCGTAGAAAAGTTCTATTAGAGCATGTTCATGAAGGATACGAAAAAGAGTGGTGGGACTACAATGAGTAGATTATGTGCAGTTCATCCGTTCCGTAACTAGACTTTTAGTATAGATCTTAAATACCTAGTTACCTCTTGAAACAAACAAAAAAACTCAATTTTACAGTGTTTTTATTAATATTGTGAGTTTTGTATTTATTTTTTATATCCTTATTTTTCAATATTTACTTTCTGGAGTCACAAAATATACTTATATCCCTTGTAAATTACTTTTTGAGGAATCATTGATGTGAATTTCAAATATCTTTATTGCTGGTACAAAATTTTCACAATTAGCATGCCATCATCCAACCTATCAAATATTTTTTTAATTATCACTTAGGTAAGGACAAAAAAATCAAATTGGTTTAAAATATAGAATTTTTCAGGGATTTGGCAGTGAAATCCTTTATATGTTTTAAATTATATTTAAATATTAAATATTATTATTTAAAAAATGTGAAATCCAGAGATTTATAAATATTCTATATAGTAAAAAATCGGTTAGAGATCCGAAAACAAAGGTATTAAATTCTTTGGAAGTCCCTAAATAAATTACAAAATTACCCCTTACGAAATAATTATATTTGAACCCACAGTGACAACAAATTTAATGAAAAATTGAAAAAAAAAATGGTTCACGGGGGATTCGAACCCACCTATTCGTGTTCTATGCACACTGCCTTAACCATTCATTAATTACGACATAAGTCTACTACATCCAAATCGTTAATTTGAATATAAGATTTCGGATCCAACCTCAGTGACAGAAAATTTCCAATTTCCTAATCAGCAACGTGTAGGTTTGTCTGTGTGTATTAAGTTTTCGTTATACGTTTAAAGATTGGAAATTTTTTGTCCCGATATTGGATTCGAAATCTCATTCAAATTAACAATTCCGAAATCAGTCGATTTTAAATTTATAAGTAATTTTCTTTGGAATGTCATGTCAAATCTCGTTTTGAACAAAAAATGGCTTCTACAAGGTGGCGCAAAATAAAGTCCCCTATTTGTTTTTTATATAAAAGGAAGATTAATTAAAAAACAGTCATATTATAAATGAAAAATAATTATTTAAACTCTAAAAATTTGTTTTGTTACACACTAAAAACAATATCGACCAAATGACCACCTCCAGCATTAATGCAATAATGAATTTCCCAAGTATCTACTTTGCAACTGACAGAAAAATTCGAACAGATGTCAACTACAAACGAAACCATGACAACATTTCATAGGGTACTTGATTTTGCGCCACCTTGTATATAAACTACTTTAGATTAACTCATATAAACCTACTTTACCTTATCCTAGTTAGGTCATCACACTGTAATAAAGATGGTACTCTAAATCATTGTTTTAACTAAATATGTGTGTGGGTATACATGGGAGATGATACTATTTGGGAAATATACAATAGGAGTCTTGTATGGATTTTCAAATAGTTTATTTATTAAGTTATATTTACATTTGAGCAACCTTGATGAAAGATGATACTATCTAACACTAATTTTTATTATTAAAAGTTACACTTTTTGGCACACAATTGCACGAGGTTAATTATAATCGTAACGTTCATTTTTGCCTTGTAGAAGATGGAAATACTTTGCTTCAGACGTACCAACGGTGGAGCACTCGATGACAGTGTCTTAAAAAAGCCACTGCAGAAAATGCTAATGTCATTATATATGATTAGATAGTTAACTTGACATAAGCCTTCAGAGCTCAGTTGGTTAATGCTCTGGATTTCGCGATCCGAGTTCAATTCCCGATAAAAACAATCTTTATTTTTTCATTTAAAAAAAATAAATATGTTATGTTTATTTATTTTAAATACATATTATTTGTCATAATTATAACCTCTACTGTCTACAGTTAGGCAATCCGTTAATCTTTCCGCCATTTTTTACTATTTTCAAAACGATACCAGTATACTTTTTTATAAATTCACAAACGTATCGTGGAAATTCCACAAAATGATAGTCAAAATTTCCTTAAAGCATTAAGTATTTACATGAATATTGAAACGATCTTTTGACCAATAAATCACAATAATATTCTTGACTTGAAATTATAGTCATCCCCTCGTATTAATGAATAAATGTGTATATGGGAGTATCGATTTTTTAAAGGTACGAACTTGAAAGTTGGAATTGTAGCTACCCATAATAAATAAATAATGACGCATTTCAGGGTTTGGGATTTTCACATTTTAAGAGGAGGAAACGTGGTGAAATAAAAATAAATAAGAATAAATAAAAAATAAATAAAAACAAATAAGTGGAACTTCTTACGCTCTAGTATGAAAAATATGAGAAGGGGAACGACATATCTTGATATCCCGACAGCCTAAGGGATGACTGCTTTTCTCACAAACAGTTTTATGTGACCTGTTAGTTTCGCATGCATTCTGGTGATATTAGCAGATGAGAACTGTATCAGAAATGTATATAAAAATAGATTCTAAGATGAATATACTTAAATATTAGAATACTCTACTTATCTATAATACTATCACATACATACCGTGAACCCTAAAAAACATATTGCTTCTGTTTTTTGGGAAGTCTTGCATTGTTTTTACATTAAAAACACGACTTCACGCGTGTAGAGCCGCGGGCAAGAGCTAGTTATTTTTATAAACAGCTTAAAAAATTTTCAGCTCGCTTCTACAGTTCCTGAATTATTTTTTTATTAGGTAAAATTCCGGCAATCAATGAAATAGTATATTATATTACGAGTGTGGAAAGTGACATTTTTCACACGAGTGGGAAATATTGTCGCACGAGGCACAACCCGAGTGCGACTATCACACGAGTGTGGAAAATCACTTTTCACACAAGTGATGTACAATATTTTTCCTACGACCACAAAATAATTTCATCAAAAAATGTAAAACCAGGTTATTATTATAATAATTAAAATATATTTAAAAAAACAATCAACAATAATCGTATTTATTCAATTTTCGTATTTTTTAAACATAAAAAACAAAAAAAAAACAAAAAAAACAAAAAAAATTCTGCCTCCGCAAGGATTTAAACACCGTCGTTCGCCAGGTCTCAAATGACAAAGTTGATAAAGTTTGATACTCTACCACCTGAGCTATTAGGCCTTGCGTCAATTGAATGATCTAATCGGTTATGTGTTTAACCAGAATAAAAAGCAAACATAATTTAGTTATTTTAAAATTATTTTAATAAAAATTGTTAAAGATAAATATCTTCTAGGATCTAATTTATAACAATTTCAATAATTTAATAATCATATCGATTTTAGTATTAATATGGACATTACATAGATCAAAATAGAAATGATGCGTTTGACATTTTGTGACAGCTGATGCGGAAAGTAGCATATTCGCACACGGGTGGAAAGTAAATTCTTATTCATACGCGTGTGATATAGGGCACTTTCCATAGGACTATATAGTGTGATATTCCTAAGTGGTCGTAGGAAAGATAGATTTTTTCTACGGTCATTATCCAAAGTAGGCTTTTACGCTTCGAAATCCAACCGCAAAGTTGACGTTTTCCGCGAACTGACATTAAAAGTGACAGCTTTGTTGCTCGCCTAATTAAAATTAGCTATAATACAAATATATTTCTGTTTAATAAATGATTTTCAAGTTATTTGTAAGTAGTTTCATGTTTTTTGTTGTATTATCCAAGTTAACATGGACTTTAAATATCAACTGCTTTTTTCAAGATTAACGCAGGTATAGGCAACACATTATACACTAGTTACGACAAATTTTCAGTTATTATATCTATTTCATTATTTCGTAGAGGTAATTTTGTAATTTATTTGAGAATTTCCAAAGAATGTAATATAAATATTCTGTTGAAGATTGCAGTTTAATAGCTTTGTTCGCGGAGTCTGTCGGCGACATATCCACGACAGATGAGCATGCGCATTTCGATTTTCAGGTCTACGAACGCTTAAAATCGAAATGCGCATGTCCATCTGTCGTACACATGTCGCCGACAGGCTCCGCGAACAAAGCTATAATTATTTTCATTTTTTGTAAAAATTGGTATCTACGAAAATATATTAAGTTTGATAGGTTGTTCTAATTGGCTAACAAATTATTCACGAATCCTTTTTGGGAATTAATATGTTTTATTTTGTGAAATCCTGTTATTATAGTATAAAATCTGTTAGTGATTCAAACAAACTACAAAAATGTTATAGCACATGAAACTAAAGCAAAAATTGTATAGTATATTATGACATGCTCTCGAAAGTTATTTATAGAACAATGAATATAATTTAAAATTATCATTGTTAAAAAGATATGGAACTTAGGATCTGAAAACAAATAGACAAAGCCTTTGAAAACTTTTTAAAAGTTAAAATGCAAGAGATGTGTATATTTTAATAAAAACAAATAATAGTTCTGAGGTAGGTGCAACATTAGGAATGTTTTAAAAATTCACATTTTTACACAGGGTGACACTTTCTACCTATATATTAAAATTTTCTAGTCCATTCTGTATTTTGCACCTTTTTTAGATCATGCTGAATTTCGTGATAAAATTATGATTTTTGGCATCACTCGCTACTCAGTCATAACTTCTTATCCAAGATGATGATACATTTTTAAACTCTGAACAAATATCACACTACTTGATATACTTAAACAGAAAATTTTTGAAATCTGCGAAATTAGAAGAAATATGGCGATTGCAACGTTTCTGCCATTTTTTCATTATAATTCGAATTATATCATGTGAGCTTCTAAGCATAATTTTAGCACAGTAGCCAACAAAATATAAACTTAGATGTATCTATGCTTAAATTTTAAATTCCGGCAAGTCCGTTATATACAAGAAAGTAATAAGGAAACGGTTTTGTTTTTTTAATAGGAATGATTGGTTTTATTTTTATTTTTTATGTAGATTCAAGAATGTCTACAATGTCTTTGTTATTTTTCATACTTTATTTCACTTTAGTGTTTCTGTAGTTACTATTTGTGTAAATGTTTTTTACATTTAAATCTATTTGGAAAAATGTTTGATTTTATTTTT